CTCATCTACACCAACACGGAAGCACTCTTAGGGAGATCCATCCAGCCGGATCAAGTACAGCGGCTTACCGAACTCCTGGAGAACGACCCATCAGTAAGGTCAGCTCGTGCAGCGATGCTGGGAAGGCTTACAGAGACGCAAACTAAGAGACAGATACGCGGGACCAGCTGTTAGCGTGATGGCTATGTCACTGGACTCCCACGTAGTCAACTGCAGTTCGAGTCCTAGACCCGGTGGCTTAAACTCACGCTGGGCACGTGTGTGTGTGTGCTCAAGATCCCGAGAGGAGAATGGAGGAGAGGGGATTGCGGCATGGCCATTCCCGCTGGGGGGCGCTTTTTCACTTTCTGTCTCTTTGTCTTTTTGGTGAGCGCACACGCCCTATAGCAAAAATCTCTCAAAAAAAGAAACATATGCTTGATTTGTGAGTACTTCCAGAAGTGTTGAATTCCTAGCCTTCAGAATTTTACGATCTATCACTTTTCAGAATTATAATCTGGAAAGTAAGAGTACTCCATAGACGTTTCCTCTTAAGTTTTGAAGCTCTTTCGTTTATAGAATAAGAAATACTCAGTTGGTATCATGGGAACAGGAGCTGGTGAAGTAGTTGGCTCCGTGACGGGAACTACAGAATGTGGAGCCTTCATGTTTATGTTTGCCTTACATACTGCAGTGAATATTTTAAATTAAAAAGTATTTATTGGTGAATGATTGCCAGATTAAATGTAATTTATATTTCTTCTGAGAATAGAGCTCTTCCATTTTAGTTTATTTAAGTTTGCTTAAAAATAATGTTTATCTTGGGACCAGCAGTTAGCGTAATGGCTGTGTAACTGGATTCCCACGGAGTCGACTGCGGTTCGCGTCCCGGACCTGGTGACTTAAAACTCACGCCAGGCACGTGTGCGTGCGTGCCCAAGATCCCGAGAGGAGAATGGAGGAGAAGGAATTGCGGTGTGGCCATCCCCCCTGCGGGGTGATTCCTCACTTTCTGTCTCTGTCTCTCTCTGTCTATCTGGCGATCTCTCTCTGTCTGGCGAGCGCACGTGCCCTATAGCAAATACCTCTCAAAAAAAAAAAATATATATATATTTATCTTTTTAATTGCACGAGTATAAGGAACTGAAGACTTAAGAGATAATAGCAAAAGAAACCAGAGTGCTTTTCATTGAAATTCAACTTTCTTGGGATTTCATAACGAAGTGGGAGGGCAAACCTTTAAAATTTTAATTTTCCACTGGCGTACACATGTGTTCTCTCTGTATACAGACACACACACACATGCACATACACATACATATATGTGCATGTGCGTATGCATATTGTTCAGACTTTAAAATAACGTCTTTTTCTCCAGTGTTATGATCGAAATCAGTTAGTTGAATCTTAAAAATGACCTATATATCAGAATTAGAAAGCATTAGTGATAACTAGATTGTATTCTATATGCTGTATGTTTAATCTCGAAAAGTAATTTCCTAGTTGGCTCATGGTTAAAAGTTGAGTGTTCTTAAAATAAGTATCAGACTTAGGAACAATGTGAGATAATCCACGTTAATCCCTCCCTTGTGATGTCTTTGATTTTGATATCAAAGTAAAACTGGCCTCAGAAAATGCGTTGGGAAGTATTCCCTCCTCTTCTGTTTTTTGGAAGACTTTATGAAGAAATGGTATTCTTTCTTTCTTTTGTTTTTTTTTTGTTTTGTTTTGTTTTGGGGGAGGGGAGAGGTTTTTGCTATAGGATACGTATGCTCGCCAGAAAGACAGAGACAGAGAGACAGAAAGCGAGAAATCACCCCCCAGGGGGGATGGCCATGCCACAATCCCTTCTCCTTCATTCTTCTCTCGGGATTTTGGGCACACACGCACACACGCCCGGCGTGAGTTTAAGCCACCAGGTCAAGGACTCGAACTGCGGTCGACTACATGGGAGTTCAGCAACATAGCCATTATGCTAACTGCTGGTCCCTCTTTTCTTTCAGGTTTTTGACATAGGACATGTGTGCTTACCAGAGAGAGAGAAGAAGGGAAAGTGAGAAATCAGTCCCCGGGGGGATGGCAATGCTGTAATCCCTTCTCCATTCTTCTCTTGGGATTTTAGGCATGCACACACACATACCTGGCATGATTTTCAAGCTGCCAGATCCAGAACTTGAACCGTGGCCGGCCATATGCGAGTCCTGCACAACTATCATGCCACCTGTTGTTCCTGGGCTTAATAATTTTTAATACACCAACTTCATTATTTTTAAATTTATTTTGAGTGCATGTGCTTATGAGGGTGGGGGTAGAGAGGGAGAAGGCACCCCCACCTCCGTGGGGTGTGTTCATGCTGCAGTTCCTCCTCCGTTTCTTCATCCTGCTGGAATTAGAGCACACATACACCTGGCATGGTTTTCAAGCCTCTGGTGCTGGGATTCAAACTAAATGATTAGCAGTAAGGAATTCAGTTCCCTTAACCATTAAGCCACGGAGCTGATACAATACACAGATTTTTTAACTTGTATAAGTTATCCTCGTATAAATTACCATAAAATAATACTTGTTAAGGGGATTAGCAGTTGGCATAATGGCTATGTTGCCGGACTCCCATGTTGTCGACCACAGTTTGAGTCCCGGACCCAGTGGCTTAAACTCATGCCAGGTGCGTGTGCATATGTGCCCAAGATCCCGAGAGGAGAATGGAAGTGAAGGGATTGCGGTGTGGCCATCCCCCCTCAGGGGGGTGATTTTTCGCTTTCTATCTCTCTGTCTCTCTCTGTCTGTCTGGTGAGCACACACGCCCTAGAGCAGAAACCTCTCCCCCCCCAAAAAAAGTAAAATAAAATAAAAATAATACTTGTTGGGACCAGCAGTTAGCGTAATGGCTATGTCGCTGGACTCCCATGTATCCCCCCTGGGGGGTGATTTCTTGCTTTCTATCTCTGTCTCGTTCTTTCTGTCTGGCGAGCACACGCGCCCTATAGCAAAAACCTCTAAAAAAAAAAAAAAAAAACTCTTGTTAAGTTTGCACCTTTATATACCATTATGCAAACTATGTTTTTGGGTCGTCGGGAAAGTTACAGCATATTCTCTATGTTTCTCTATCCAAAAATGTGCCATGACTTTTCTGATGACCCCATAAATTGATGGTGGACCTTGGAAAATGATAAGAGCCACTTAATAGTGGATATTCTGAAACCGTCTTAGTCCACTTTTTTTCTGGTAGAAAAAGACAAGAATTGTAGACTTCGTCATTAACATGTATATGTGTGTCTGTCCGTTTACATAAATTTACATGTATTGTTGTTGACCGCAGGGCAATTCATGACGTTAAAGCCACAGATCTGGGATTAGGTAAAGTAAGATTTAAGGCAGAAGTGGATTTTGATGGACGAGTTGTTACAAGATCTTATTTGGAAAAACAAGATTTTGACCAAATGCTACAAGTAAGTATGTACATTTGTCATTTTCTTATATAGCCAAGGATTAGAAAAATTACATTCTAAGTAAATCAGACTTACTTTCTATTTATTTGTTTGTTTTAAAATTGTGACAAGGTGTGTGCACTCATCAGAGAGAGGGAGAGTGAGGACCTCACACGGTGGTGTGCGGTCACGCGGCAATCCTTTTCCCTCCATTTCTCCGTCTCGTCAGGATTTTGAACACCTACATAGGTGCACCCAGCATGATGGCCAAGCTGCTGGGGCCAGGATTCTGACCACGGTCAGCTCCTTTAACCGCCGTGGTATGGGGCTGGCCCTTTTATCTCATGAGAATGAGAAAGAGACAGCGCGTACCCTAGACAGGGTCTCCCCACACTGCAGTCCTCTGCCAGCCTCTTAGCAGTCAAGATCCTGGGCCCTCGTGCACATGTCCTGCATGCTGGGGTCAGCTGGGGCCCCCCGGACCTCCTGCATGACTCCACCCGAGCCCAGCACCCTGCCACTGTGCCGCTGAGGCTGGGCCAACTCCTTACAAGTCCTGAAGTCACTTCAGCTCTCAACTTAGGCTGCTCAGTTTGACAGAGGCCCTTTTATTTACTGTAAAGTAGCTCAGAGACAGCAGAGGAACAAATTTATTAAATACTTTAAATCATCACAAAAATAGTTCAGATCTTCAAATTCTCTTCTCATTGGGTTGTCGGAAAACTCATGGCACATTTTTCCATTAAAAAAATAGAAAAAAATAGTCATGACTTTTCTAACAACCCAACAGATCCCATTTTCCTTCTAGAATTAACCATTATTCTGAATTTGGTACCTATCGTTTCCATGTGAGTTTCTGTATTTTTCAGCAGTGACATTTTGAATGTTTAAAAATTGGCATGAATGACACACTGTGTGCATCTCTCTGTGGTTTGTTTAACAGCATGTTTTTGAGATTTCTCCATTATCTTACATAGTCCAAGTTGATTTAGTTTTTTTGTTACCTAATATCTATTCTATAAATATGCCACTGTGTACCTTGTCTCCAGTTGATATGTTATATATTATATGCTTCTGGTGTTAAAATTGTAGAAACAGTGGCAGCATGGCGTTCCCGTAAGTGTTTCTGTTCAGGTACACAGAGGTTTCCTTAGGGTGGTATATAGCTAGCTTTAAAACGGGGGGCCCTTGGGTGTGCTTGTCTCACCTTCCCTTGGTACTCCCAAATTCTTCTCCAGATGCACCCCTTAACTTCCCTCATCGGTATGTCAGAGTTCCTGCTGTTGTACCTCCCTGCTGCATTATACTGACAAAGTTCTCAAATGTCTGCCAGTGTGGTAGATGTGCAATTGTATCTTGTTTGAATAACTTTTTATTTCGTAGCGTTGCGAGGTTAATAAAACATTGAAGTTCATTGACCATTAGGATTTTCTTCTGCATTGTATCCTGTTTTGTTTTGTTTCTAGTTGACTTGTATTATTTCAACAGATTTTAATATGCTGCTGCATACTAATCTTTCCTCAGTTGTGTGTGTGCAATATCTTTCTAATTTGTGATTGGCCTTTTCACTTTGCCATTGTAGAGATTTAGTATAGTTTTTGATTTTACTGTTAGGTGGGTAATCTTTTTCACTATGCTTTTTATTGTCTGGTATGAAAACTCCTTTGTTGAAGGCAACTATCATGAAAGTATTCCTTAAATTTTTAAAAAAATGTATGATCCATTACATGCATACATTGCGTGTGTGTGTGTGTGTGAGAGGGGGAGAGAGAGAGGGAGAGAGAGAGAGGGAGAGAGAGAGAGAGAGCTACACTCCCCGCAGCATCTGACCGTGCTGTGACCGTCTTCCTTCAGCCTGTCGGATCTCAGCAGTCGTGCGTGTGCCCAGCGTGTTTTAGGCTGGCGGGGCTGGGGACCCGATCCACGGTCACCATGGGCATTCAGCTTCTCTTGAGCACACAGTATTGCTGCACCACCGGGCTGGCCCTCTCTGTTTCTTCGGTAAAAATTTGTGGTTAGTCTTTTGCTCTTAGATTTTTATTTTTAGTTTATTTATTTCTCTTATGAGCTGCAGGCAGGATAAAAGAGAGAGAGAAGAGAATAAGCAGTCTCAACAGGGTCTCGTGCCACCACCCTCCCCCCAGCTGTCCCCACCAGACAGGACCACTGGCACGTGCTCTTCCTCAGCCTGCACAGTTGGCCTGAGAACTGAGCCCTATCCCCCCGCACCCTTCCTACCACACGGACACCGGCACTCAGAGCGCTGTGCCACCGCCGACCTGCTGCGGCACTGGTGGGCCTCGTCCTGGTCTTTCATCCACTTACGGTTCTCTGCTTATGGGCTGAGGCAGGGTTTGTTTTTTTTTTTGTGTGCTTACATGGGGGCCAAAAAAAAAAATTATCTCAGTACTATTTATTAGTCTATTTTTCCCCACTAATTTTGTAGTGTATTTTACTATGGCATAAAGTTTTTTATTTTTTATTAAACCTAGTGGTGTGTGTGTGTTTTAAGGAATCATTCACCATACTACTATAATTTTTAAAAAATTTTATTTTGTTTTCCTTACAGGAAATTCAAGAAGTGAAAACTCCTGAAGAACTAGAAACCTTTATGCTTAAACACGGAGAAAATATTATTGATACTTTAGGAGCCGAAGTAGATAGACTTGAGAAGGAGCTGAAAGTAAGACGCGTTCGTAAAAATAATATAATGAAAATGCAGTTGCTTTTTGGATACTTGATTCTGTGTGGGATACTATGGAGGTGTATCGCATGCATGTTCTGTTCTCAGTAAACCCATAGTACATAGCTATGAGGGACTTTAAAAAGTTTATGGGGACATGGAAATTAAAGTATGAGTTTAGTTTTGGTATATAATTCTTGAAATCCATGCGTAGCGTTTTCATGATATGCGTTTTCCATGAAGGTTTTGAAGACCCTACTGTAATAGGCAAAAAAAAAAAAAAAAAGATTGAGTGAGAGAAAAGAATCGCATTGGGTCGTTTACCCACAGAAGCAAAGGAGTTGTTACTTAAACTGTGCTCAGTTCCAAATTCTGTACTTTGAACTTCTTTTCTCTACTGGCTGCTTTGTTTCTAAATAGTCCAAGATGCTTTGTTTTTAAGGAAGAAGCATTTGGAAAGTTCCTAGAGAAAGATTAAAGGAGTACTTTCAAGTGTGGTCACAAGCCAGAAAAAATAGAATGTGACCCTAAACATGCATGCGTATCTTGGTTTCAGTTCATCCGACGTTATTTTCTGTTCTTGTTGTTTCTGTCGAGTTGGAGATCGTTGCGTCCTACTTGTTACGTGACTGAAATATTTCCTGATCAGGTCATCTGTCTGCTCTCCCACTGCCATTTATTGCAGTCGAGTTCTGATCGTTTGCAACGATTAAAAACTTGTACATCTTTATTCAGAACTCAACACACAGTTTATTGAAAGCAGTGCGTTTTCTTCAGTTGATGTTTACCAACCTTTCGTTTCGTTAAAATTGAAGGGGAACATTCTAGCTCTGCTGTCAGGTGTCTAGATTTGCATTTCTTAAATATTTTGGTCTTAGGGGACCAGCAGTTGACGTAATGGCTCTGTCGCTGAACTCCCATGTGTCCCGGACTCAGTGGCTTACACTCACGCCGGGCGCGCCCAAGATCCCGAGAGAATGGAGGAGAAGGGATTTCGATGTGGCCCTCCCCCCAGGGGTTGATTTCTCACTTTCTGTCTCTCTGTCTCTCTCTTTCTGGGGAGTGTACGTACCCTATAGCAAAACTCTCTCAAAAAAAAAAAAAAGAAAAAGAAAAAAAATATTTTGGTCTTGGGACTCTTTTCATTTTTAAAATATTGAGAACCCCAAAGTGCTCTTATTTATTGGAGTTATTTACCAAGCTGTACATAAAAATTGAGAACTTAAAAATATTTATTTAAAAAAATATAAACCTATTACATGTTTATATAAATAACTTTTATGAAACATAACTTTTTAAGAAAAAATAACTTTTCAAAATGAAAACGTTATTAGAAAAGTAATACTTCACATTTTTGGAAAATTTTCTTATGTCTGTTTTAGCAGAAGACGGATTCCCTTATCTGCTTCTTCCTTCAATCTGTAGTGATTTGATTCTTTCAATTAATCGAAGAACATGTAGATAAAGGGGAGAATATTTTCATAGACTTTTGAAATGATCGTGATAGTCTTTTTTGATGCTGTCCCCAAACTGACAGCTGGCCGTCAGTAACCTCTTAGAACTTAATTGCCGTGTGGAATTGGAAACTGTATCAACGAACTTTTTATGTTATTTGTGAAAGTAGGGATTGTAGTCTACAAGATTAATCACTTTTGCTTCTAATACCCATCACAAATTTGAGGGGTTCCTAAGACTACCCTAAAGTTTGCTAATTGTCTGGAAGGACTCAGAACTCACCGAACAGTGTCATAGTCGTGGTTCAGGTTTATTATACAGATAAACACCCTCCAGGAAGAAGCCCCTCGGGCAGAACCCAGTGGAGTCCTGGGCTTGGAGCCTCAGCTGTCCTCTCCATGTGGGGTGTGGGCAGTGTTACTGTCCCGGCCGTGAAGGTGGCAGGAACGTGGCGTGTTGCCCACCAGGAAGCTCATCTCAGGCCTGACGCCCAGGGGTTTTATTGTGGCTCCGTGGTTTCCTGCCCGATGCTGCTGGCCTTGTCTCTAGTCCCTCCAGAAGTAGAGCAGATACTGTGTGGCTAAAAGCACCTCTCATAGGGGCCGGCAGGCGGCGTGGTTCTTAATGTGCCGGACTACCACATGGCAGACTGTGGTTCAAGTCCTGGTCCCGTGGCTTGAAAATCATGCTGGCCACGTGTGCATGTGTCCCCAAAATCCCAAGAGGAGAATGGAGAAGGAATCGTGGCATGGCCACCTCCCACCCCATCCCTTACCTCCCATCTCTCTCTAGTGAGCACACATAGCCTGTGGCAAAAAATCTTAAAAAAAACAAAAAAGAAACCTCCATTATGAATCACATTATAAGACTGTGCAGTGGCCACCGCCCCAGGCAAACCAAGACTCTCCTAGGCAGTTCATCTTCAAGGCCCAGAAATCACCTCCCAGTGCTGAGGACGACAGCACTCTTTGGATGAGATTAATTCTTTTTTTTTTTTTTAGAATTATTTTTATTTATTTATTTATTTGTTTGTTTGTTTGTTTTTGATCAGAGAGAGAGAGGGAAAGTGAGAAAGCAAGCCACCAGGTTTGGGACTCGAACCACAGTCGGCCATGTGGGAGTCCAGCTCCCTTACCCACAGTGCCACCTGCCAGCCCCAAGAGATTAATTCTTTATAATATGATCGTAGTAAAGCCTACCGGTCGGTCTGTGTCCTCTGAATGGAACTTGTACCCACACACAGTCCACGTTGTAGGGGTATTTCGGAAAATGTCGCCTCACCGAGTAACGCAGATCTTCCAAGTGTGATGCGTTTCTAAGTATTAGGAGGTTGTCAGGCTCACGATGTTGGGTATGTCGCCAGCATTCTTATTTTTACGTGAAAGCTTGTTGCATTTTATCACTAGCAAAAATACTGTTCGTTGTTTTCCTTGAAAGACTAATTTTGTCCATTTTTTAGAAGATGCCTCTCAAATACCCACATTTGAACAACCGTACTTTGTTGGTATCTTTCGAGTACAAATGGGGTTTCTGATGAAAAGGCAGCTTTTCCAGCTCTCAGTTCTCGCAGTCACAGAAATGCTTTCGTTGTGACACACATACTATTGCATCTTGCCACAGTATTTTTAAAAGCGGACTCAAAGATTGAGGTTTGGTGAAATCAGTGTTTTCCCACTTCATGAAGGACATTTAAAAGTGCGTGGCGGGACCAGCAGTTAGCGTAATGGCTATGTTGCTGGACTCCCATGTGGTCGACTGCGGTTCGTGTCCCGGACCTGGTGGCTTAAAAACTCACGCCGGGTGCGTGTGCGTGCGTGCCCAAGATCCCGAGAGGAGAATGGAGGAGAAGGGATTCTGGTGTGGCCACCCCCCCCTGGGGGGTGACTTCTCACTTTCTTTCTGTCTCGCTGGTGAGCACACGCATCCTGTAGCAAAAATCTTAAACAAAACAATAATTTTATCTTTTATTCTATATGTTTTTATTTCTCTGGCAAGAAAAATAATGAACTAATGAATTGCTTTACTTTAATGGAAATAGAATCTAGATATAAGAATAGTTAATAAATTGGTCTTTCTCAACTACATTTATCCTTATGAGAATCAGACAGATTTACTGTTTTTGTTTCACTAACTTTATACTTTAATTAGATACTATTAAGCCATTAATACTCTTATTGAATTATGTAAGTCTTTCAAACCAGGAAGCTAAGTTTAATCAGCATATTCAGGCTTCGACATCTCTTGCTGAGGTAATAATACATAATTAATCTTAAGTCAGAGGGAAATTCTTCATAGTTTAAGTGCCACACCAGAGGAGAGAATGCATGAACCTCATTCTTCCTCCCAGTCATGAAAATAAGCTGATTTCCTGTGAGACTAAACTGTGCACTAGCATACCTTCTCGTTTTTATTATTCCTTGGTCGCATTCTAAGTTTAAATTGTAATTATTGAATTACTTTGGAAGGCCACACTCAGCACAATTCGGCACTAGTCTAGCCACCTCAATTTCATGCCATTGAATATTAGGTGGTATTTTTGGCTTAAAATATCTCCAGAACTCGCATATTTCTATGTAAATATGTTGAACATAATAGAAGTTGACTCATACTTGTCCATGTTTATAAGACAGGGGTTTAACAATTACAACAAAGAGTAAAGGATATCTTGTTACTACCTTGAAGTACTTTAAACTGTTCACGTAAAATAGTTTCTGGCTCAGGGCCAGCAGGTGGCGCGGTGGTGAAGGCACCGGATTTCAACATGATCCACCAAGTGCAAGTCCTAGACCAAGCAGCCTGAAGGTCACACCGCAAGTGTGTGTGCACGCCCAGAATCCCAAGAGGAAAATGGGGGAGAAGGGATTGTGGCACGGCCATCCCTCCCGAGGGATGATTTCTCATTTTCCCTCCCTCTCTGTTGAGTCCAGCACCTCAACTGACAAGTATGCATGCCCTGTTGGCAAAAGCCTAAAAATAAATAAATAGGTAGGGAGGGAGGGAGGGAGGTGGCGTGTCCTACCTCTGTATTAATAGTGTGTGAATAGACCTTTCTCCCATCTATCCATGAAGTTTTAGGGTGTGTTTTTTATTTTTATTTTTTCGGTCAAAGGGCACGTGTGCTGGACAGAGAGAGACAGAGAGAGGGAAAGTGAGACTCCCCCTGCAAGCACGTCCATGTCGCTATCCCTTCTCCATCCTCCTCTCAGGCTTTTGGGCGCACACACACACACACACACACACACACACACACACACTTGCCCGGCATGATTTTCACGCCACCAGGTCTAGGACTTAAACCATGGTCAGCCGTGTGAGAGTCCACACCTCAACTACCACGCCACCCGCTGGCCCCTCTGTGCGGTTTTTGTGGTGGTTGTTGGAGATGAAACAACTCTGTTGGAAATGAATGCAGCAGGCGGTTGCCATAGCATTCGCGGATTCCATGTTAGTCACGTTCCAGTTAAACGCTCTGCCCTTTACTCTGCCTTTGCTTCTCTGGAATTCCACGACAGCGTGTCCTTGAGTCGGTAGCACTGCCAACAGGTGATGTCATGTGGGGGTAAAACCGTCTGCAGTGTGTGAGACAGCCCAGTTTGTCCCGGGCCATGCGTGTGGCGTAGGAGCTCAGAGTGTGCCGGGTAAGGGGGACCCTGATCCCAGGGCTGCTGGCACTGCAGATCGGGGTGCGGCCGCACCACGGCGGCCCTGCTCCACAGTCTCTGCTCTGCATTGCGTCACCTCTTTGTGTAGTACACGCTGAGTTCTAAGAACATTAACCTTTCTATTTGTCTGTTTAGAAAACAGGTTTGCAATTGTCTCCTTTGTACTGTGCTCGTGTATTTACAAATTTTGGTTCGTTTTCTCTCTGAAAACGTGATATTTAAAAAAAGACTCAGTTAACTTTTTACATATTTTTTTTTGAGATGCGACTTTTATTAGAACCCGCTTGTTATACAATGCTTTTTATACAGTAATGCCAGATTTCTCATGGACAACTGCGTTTTTCAAGTTGTGTTAGGGAAAGTCAGGGTTGATTGGAGCAGGAAGAAAAAAAAGAACAAGAATGAAAAGAAAGATGCCCGCATGCACACAGTAGGTGCTCTAACTAGAGCCGAACTGCAGTATTGTACCAGCATTTTGTATTTATAGTGGAAGTCCTTTAATATGAGTGATATGCAGATATGTGTGGGATTTTTTTTTTTTTTTTGAAGAAGTTTTTTGCTAAAGGGCATGTGAGCTCACCAGAAAGACAGAGTCAGAGAGACAGAAAGCGAGATATCACCCCTACCCCCCCTAAGGGGGGATGGCCACGCCGCAGTCCCTTCTCCTCCATTCTCCTCTCGGGATCTTGGGCACACACGCACATGCGCCCGGCGTGAGTTTAAGCCACCAGGTCCGGGACTCGAACCGCGGTCGACTACGTGGGAGTCCAGCGACATAGCCATTACGCCAACTGCTGGTCCCTGCCGTGATTGTCTTTTCACCATGAAAAGGAATAAATGGTGCTCTGCAGTGTGCGGCATGTGCTAGAAGCCGAATGTGCTTTGTGTTAACGAGCACATGAAGAAACACAGGAGATGGGACTGCTTAACTCTTCATAGTGTGTTGACCTGCTGGTCTTATTTTTCTCATGCAGACATTTCTCTTAATAGTGAATTTGCCGGGAACCCTGGGGGGTGATTTCTCGCTTTCTGTCTCTATGTCTCTGTCTGTCTGGCGAGCGCACGCGCCCTATAGCAAAAAAAAAAAAAAAAAAAACCTCTCCAAAAAATTAAAAAAAAAAAAAAAAATAGTGAATTTGCCCAGATTATAGCTAGTTTGACCAGATGTTGTCAGTGGCTCTGGTGACCAAAGGGAATAAAAAGAAACAGAAGATACTGTTTTGCTCAAAATAACGGGGTGTTGCTTTTTCCTTTCCAGAAACGAAACCCTGAAGTTCGGCACGTGGATTTGGAGATACTGTAAATCTGATGGAGTGGGTCACTTCCTGGCGCTCTTGGGAATGTGTTCGTTCAGCCATTCTGCGGAACCCTTTTTCTATTCTCCCTCACTGAAGGAGTCGGTGCCATTTGGAAGCTTTTTTTTTTTTTTCTTTTTCTTTTTTTTTAAACAAGGAGGAGATACTTTGTGTAAAGAGCAATTCAACAGGTTACAGAACTAAGACGACTTCTTATTTCCTAAGAGACACATTATGAGTTGAAATCAATTTGAAAATCATGTTCTTATGCTTCCACAGGGAACATTTGGGTGACTTCACTTGTTCCTAATTTCTCATCTTAGCCTGTCTCTGTGTTTCGTCCTTTGCAATCATGCTCCCTTTGTTTACCCCGTAAAAGTAAGTGGACGTGGTTGCCACTGGAGACTCCACTCCATCACAATCTGCCAAGTTCGAATATTCTGGCTAGATCTTAGTGTGTGGTTTTTAAAAAGTCACTCTGTTTCAAAATCTGTCTTTCCCTGTAGGAGGTGGAGATCATTTCTAAACCTTGTGAGCTGGGAGCTACGAGGAGCACTGTCCGAACCCAGTTACCCACAAAATCCATTCCGGAAATGGCTCAGTTACTGAATTGAAGGAGCTTACTTGAGTACGTTCTTTTAGATCATAGCCATTTTGCATTTCTCATTTCCCTTTCGCTTTTTTCCTTTATTTTGGTTTGATTTTTCAAACGTTAGGCTATATAAAATAACCCTAGATGTTTCCATAGGCCAGTATGATGACATTTTTTTTGTTTGTTTCCTTCCTTAAAGCTGGCTTTAGTGCCATGTTTATTTGCTAGTTGGTAATGTGTTTATAGGCATTTTAACATTCTGTAATGTTAAATACTAGACTAGGAATATTTATAATTTTACAGATGGGGCAGTGTTTTATTTTTAATTTATTTAAAAAGAGGCACTACTTATGTAAATCTAAAATGTGGGCCATTTCTTGCTTTAAAAAGAGAGAAGTACATCCGTGCTAAAACTTGTGGTCATGATTTTGTATAACATAGTCAATAGTGTGTCTGAGTTTCTTCCAGTTACAGATGGGCATTTAGCATAGTAAATTGACCATACCATATTATGTAAGTAAATAGCTTCCTAAAGACCAGATGGTATCAAAGTGAAAAAAACCCTGCAATTCAGTAATACAAAGTTTAGAGAAAAACTACATCCCTCCATCAAAACAGCTCTGCCCTTTACGGTGTTCAGGTAGCAGTGAGCGTTGTTGACGTGAGAGTAGTGGCTGGAGATTTCTTTGCTGGATAACTGGGTGAGTGACATCTGGACCTGTCTGTCTGTGGTCACTATCTTAACACTTAGTGGGATGGAAATTGATGAATTCTTGCAAATTGTTATACTGGAAGCAAAAATAAATCTTTGATTAAAGAGTTTGTCATTGTGTCATTTTTTTTAAAAGGATAAATTGTATTTATCACTGTCATTATTATTATTTTTAAATTTTGCTAGAGGGCACGTTCAATTCACCAGCACAAGGCAGACAGAAGGAGTAGGCCAAGGTCTCAAGCCAGCCACCGAGTCGAGGATTCTAACCACAGTCGGCCACGTGGGAGTCCAGCACTTTAACCACCGCGCCCACCTGCTGGCCCCAGTCATTGTAACTTTGGATCCAGAAATGTTATTTACTAAAAAATCGTGAGATTACATCTTTATTTTTTTATTTTATTATTTTTTTTTGCCATTACGGAGCATTTTGGGAGTTGTACATATTATAGGAGATCATAGTCCAGGGGTTTTCTTTGTTTTTTTTGTTGTTGTTGTTGTTTGTTTGTTTTGGTTTTAGAGAGATTTTTTGATACAGGGAGTGTGCGCTTGCCAGAGAAAGAGAGAGATGGCGGAGATGGCCATGCCACAATCCCATTGTCTCCGTTCTCCTCTTGGGATTTTGGGCACGCGTGCACATGTGCTTGGAGTGTTTTAAGCTCCTGGGTCTGGGACTCAAACTGCAGTCGACTATGTGGGAGTCTCGTGACATAACCATTATGCCTTCTGCTGGTCCCCAGTCTTTCTTCTTTTAAGATATAAGACAGTTTACATAGATATGATATAAAATAGTACATCATATCTGGGAATTTGAATGTTTCTGTAGGATTAAGAAGTAGGACTTCTTGGGACCAGCAGTTAGCGGAATGGCTATGTCGCTGGACTCCCACGTAGTTGACTGCGGTTCGCGTCCCGGACCCGGTGGCTTAAACTCATGCCGGGCGCGTGTGCGTGCGTGCCCAAGATCCCGAGAGGAGAATGGAGGAGAAAGGATTGCGGTGTGACCATCCCCCCCGGAGGGTGATTTCTCGCTTCCTGCCTCTCCTGTCTCTCTTTGTCTGTCTGGCGAGCGCACGCGCCCTATAGCGAAAACCTCTTCAAAAAATAAATAAATAAATAAAAGAAGTAGGACTTCTCTCTGGCTCTTTTTTTTTCTTCTTTTTTTTTTTTTTTTTTTTTTAATGTGTTTGCTTTGGGCATTTGTGTTCACCGGAGGGACAGAGAGAGAAAGTGAGAAATCACCCTCCCAGGGCAGGTGGCCAAGCCGTGATCCCCTCTCTGTCAGGCTCCTCTTTGGATTTTGGGCCTGCATGCACACACGCCCAGAGTGTTCCTCAGCTGCCGGGTCTGGGATTTGAATCATGCAGCCAGCCATATGGGATCCAGCACCTCAACCTCTCTGTCACCCGCTGGTCTCTTCCCCCCTTTATACAGGAGTTAATTGGAATTTTAAAATCAGGGAATTTGGCATTTTTTTTCTTTAAAAAGAAGATGATACCTAGTTTTTAGGGTTTTTTTGTTTTGATTTTTTCTAAACTCATGTTTTTTAAAAATTTTTTCTCTGATACACAGCATTTGGATACTTCAGCATATAACTTTTCCTTGGTAACTTAAGCATATAAGTCTTAATATTTTCAGGGACCGGCAGATGATGTAATGGTTACATCGCTGAACTCCCATAGTCGACCGTGGTTTGAGTCCCAGACGAGGTGGCTTAAACATGCCGGGTGCGTCCCAAGATGCCGAGGGGAGAATGGAGGAGAAGGGATTGCAGCATGGCCATTCCCCCCTGTGGGGTGATTTCTCTGTCTCTGTCTTTCCCGCGAGCGCATGTGCCCTATAGCAAAAACATCTTTAAAAAAAACTTGATATCTTCAAGGAAAATATTCTCTGTAGTAGAGTAATTACAAAAGTGTTCACCAGAGATGGAGTCAGCCTCTGGGGCTCCTACTTGTCCCAAGCTGCAAAGGAGTCAGGTATGCCTGTCGTCAGCTTCAGTTGAAAATGGGTCTCTAAAAACTGTAAGCGCAGGTCCCAAACTATGTAAGGTGGCATATCGTGAGAGCATGGCAGTGGGAGGATAAGGGGCAGACACCTGTTTTTGTTTTTTTTTCTTTTTCTTTTTTTGGAGAGGTTTTTGCTATAGGGCACATGCACTTGCCAGAGAGACAGAGAGACAGAAAGTGAGAAATCACCCCCCCAGGGGGGATGGCTATGCCACAGTCCCTTCTCTTCCATTCTCCTCTCGGGATCTTGGGCACGCACGCACACGCGCCCGGCGTAAGTTTAAGCCACCGGGTCTGGGACTCGAACCGCAGTCGACTACATGGGAGTCCAGCGACATAGCCATTACGCCATCTGCTGGTCCTGAGACCTGTTTTCAAGTGGACCAAATTCCACAAAGGTAGATTCCTAAACATATTCTGAGGAATCTGTGAGAGAGGACCAGACTAGAAAAATGTTCAAAAATAAAGTTAAATGCCTGCACAGATCCCCCTCTACACAAATCCCAAATTACCCAGAATAATACCTTGTCCTAAGACTTGAGGTTTTAATATATGGCTTTTGATGTTGACCGTAATTATCTCATAATTTAGACAATGCTTTTGCATAAAATACCATCTGGGGGGCCGGCAGGTGGCATGGTAGTTAAGAGCGCTGGATCCCCATGTGCCCGACCACAGTTCGAGTCCCGGACCTGGAGGCTTGCTTTCTCGCTTTCTCTTTATCTCTCTCTTTGTCTCTCTCTGGTCAAAATTTAAAAATGATAATAACAACAAATGGAAAAAAAATAAATATTTTTTAAAAAATTATACCATCTGAAGAATGGCTTAAGTTTTAAATCTGATAACTTTGTGAGGTAGAGTGCTAGGAACAACAGCAAGTTGCACAGGCATGTGGAATTTATGTTATCCTTAGATTACATTTGTCAATCTTTGGCAGCATTTCTTTTAAACGGGATGACCCCCAATTTGCCAAACTGTCAGAAGTCAGCGAAGCAAAGAATGGAAGGTGAAATGTTGATTCAAAGATCGTCTCCCCTAAATCCTCATCCCTGTCTCTGAAATGGAACTTTGGGAGGCATTTATAGAGAAGATGGGTCTGACCGTGTATATTTGCATTTAAGTTTACTTGCATCTCTGGACTTGGTTTTATGGAAAAAGAAATTTTTTATTTCTGTTACATTTATTTTATTCAGTATGCTTGCTAGCTTAGAAGGTTTTCCAAAAGCAAACTCTAATAACCCTTAGGCCATTTTGTAATCAGTTTTCAGTGTCAGGGAAGTATTATTAATATACTGTTGAGACAAAATGTGTTTTGTAAATTCAAAGCCAAAAAATTACATCCCTTAGTGATACATATTATCAGTACATTTTGACAAAACTAGATCACTTAAACATTTTAATTCGGCTACTTTACTAATCCTGTAGGAATTATGCCAACTGCTGGTCCCGAGCAGCAGTCTTCTTAGGCCAAGCTGAGATATGAATGATAGTGTGATGAACCAGAGCTGGGTAGACTTAAGATAGTTACAGGGACAAGCAAAGCAGTTGGTGTAATGGCTATGCCGCCAGACTCCCATGTACTCAGTCGACCATGGATTGAGTCCCGGATCTGGTGGCTTAAACTCATGCCGGGCGCGTGTGCCTGTGTGCCCAGGATCCTGAGAGGAGAATGGTGAAGGGATTGCGGTGTGACCATCCCCCCTGGGGGGTGATTTCTCGCTTTCTGTCTCTCTGTCTCTGTCTTTCTGGCAAGTGCACACACCCTATAGCAAAAAACTCAAAAAAAAAAAAAAAAAGTTACTTAATCAGCTTTTTTCTCTTGAAAGTCTTATAGATATTACCTTTAAAAACCCCTTAACTGAGGGCCATCCGATGGTGTACTGGTTACGACACTGAACTCCCATGTAGTTTACCACGGTTCTAGTCCCGGACCTGGAGGCTTAAACTCATGCCAGGTGCATGTGTGCCTAAAATCCCGAGAGGAGAATGGAGGAGAAGGGATTGCAGCGTGGCCTCAGGGGGTAATTTCTCGCTTTCTATCTCTGTGTGTCTCTGGTGAGTGCATGTGCCCTATAGCAAAAATCTCTCAAAAATTATTAATTGGAGAGAGCAAAAACGTTCAGTAGAGTTTGACCTCCTGGATTAGTGCCTTGGCGTCACTGTTTCCCCACCACTAGTTCTGTGACCTTGGGCCCGTCCGTCTAAGCAACGGTGTCCTCATCTGTAGAGCGTGGATAATATTAGAGCTTACCTCATAGGCTCTTTGAGAAGATTCACTGTGGGAACCAGCAGTTGGCGTAATGGCTATGTCGCTGGACTCCCATGTAGTTGACCGCGGTTCGCGTCCCGGACCCAGTGGCTTGAAACTCATGCTGGGTGCGTGTGTGTGCGTGCCCAAGATCCCGAGAGCAGAATGGAGGAGAAGGGACTGTGGCATGACCATCCCCCGCTGGGGGGTGATTTCTCGCTTTCTGTCTCTATGTCTCTCTCTGGTGAGCGCACGCGCCCTATAGCAAAAACCTCTCCAGAAAAAAAAAAAGATTCAATGTGATCATGATAGCAAAACCCTTAACCAATGACTTACTACATTTTGGCTATTCAAATGATTAAGAATTAAGAAGTCATCTACAAGGGCCGGCAGGTGGTGTGGTGGTTAAGGCATTGGGCTCTCACATGGCCAACCATGGTTTGAGACCCGGACCTGCTGACTTGCTTTCTTACTCTCTCTCTCTCTGTGGTCAAATGGGATCATAATAATAAATACAATGAAATCAATAGTCCTAAAAAAGAAAGTTACCATCTGCATTAAAGCAATCAACTCTCAGGGTCTCAGTGAGGTAGAACCAGAGATCTTTGAACTGACTCATCTTCATTATCTTCCCTTTCTCCCTTCTCCAGCTAGCCCTGTGTCCCAGGAGATTGGCCTCTCTGAGTATCAGTGGGCTCTCTTGTCCCCTGGGTTCCAGTTGCTCTGAGCTAGAGGATCATGGGAAGGAAAAGGGAGGTTGTGCATCGCTTCCCCTGGCTCCCTCCCTGCAGAGTCAGCAAAGTCTAAGTGTCCCTCGCTCACATGGAGATGACTTTTCCTACCAGGAGCCCTCTCT